GGAGATTTCAGTTGGATGCCAAGATAAGCTTCTCGGCTGTTAGAACGATCAAGCAGCCTTTAGCAAGTTCAAAGGGTCTCCGTCCTGGAAATATTCAAGAGACCAATGTTCTGAGTGGGCGGGGGGCTATTCACCTACCTGGAGATTTGGAATGTCTGTGTTGCAGGGGTGGGGTGTCTTCTGGTTTTGAGGACTGACGCTTATCTGATAACTGCAGGGAACAGTCTTCTGCTTGCTATGTCTAGTAACTGTTAGCCTACACATCTCTGAATAGTATTTCCCCCTTTCTCTCTATACAGTCTTTTGAAGTATAGGCTATATTCCTTCTGAAACATACATGACCGCAATCTTGAAAGGCCTCCAAGCCGTGTCTACCCCTGATAAAAGAAACGTTTAATCATTTCGAACTCATTCATCCATATAATTTTAACAGTGGACTCGTTCTTGCTTAACATCTAATTACAAAAGTGAAATGTGGCTGGGCGCGGTGGCTTATGCCTGTCATCCCAGCACTTTGGGAGGCTGAGGTGAGATCTGCCTTCCTGGTCAAAAAGGGAGGATCCAGGGAATTTTTCCCTTTTCAAGCGGACCTGCCAGTTTTACAAAGAAAACAGAAGCTCTCTTGGGAAAAAACGGAATTGTAACTTACAATTTTAGCTACCGAATACATGTGAGACTAGGTTAGCTGCTTTAACTCACTTTCCCAGATCAATGAGAATCCATTCTAACGGGTCTGCGCTCAAGTCTGGGGTCTGAGGGGGAGAGCGTGTTAAGGCTTGTAAGCCTCCTATCAGGAATAGCCACACAGGCTAATGCCTTAAAAGCAAAGGAATTGAACTTTCCCTGACCCAGTTATTAAGGGGAGGGTGCTTGTGGTCACACCAGCTGGTACAGCCATCCCTGAAGTCTTTAGTCACAGAATCGGCAATAGGACCCGATAGGATCTGCCCCACGTCATACTGTCTTGTGATGTGATTTTCTGCAAGCGTGTTCTCTACCACATGGATGCAAGACTGCTTCTAACCCACTCCCGGGTCCCAGATCACTGAACTTAATACGGATGTGCTAAATGAACGGAGGAATGGCCAGGCTTAGGGGGCTCCGGCCAGCTTCCTTGCCTTCGAACATAGAAGGGCAGGTAATTTAAGTAGAGTAATGGCTAAAGCTTGCTATATTCCAGGCACGAAGTGCTTCAGAGACACTGATTCATTTAAGTCACAGCCACCCGATGACGTAGATACTGTCACTGTCATCATCCCCGTTTTACAGATGAGGAGACAGACATTAAATAACTTGCTCTAAGTCACACTCTAAGTGTACGACCAGGACGTTGGCCGAGGTCATTTGACCCCAGAGCCTGTGTGTTTAAGGGTCATGCTGGGCTGACCCCCTGAAGAATGGGCTCTGTTCTGTTATTGAAAATATTCAGGGACATAGACATTGCCGGTTACAGAATTCATCACCCTGAACATCAGAAACCTGCCCTTGGATCTAGAGAAAACTTTTTCAGCTTTAATGTCAACCTTATTTATTAATTTATTCTGTGAATGGTTTTTGAGATTGCTTTGCTTCTCCATAGACACAAAGAATATTCTCCTCCCTAAAACCTTTTGGCCAGGCAAGGCAGCTCAGCACTTTGGGAGGCCGAGGCAGGTATATCATGAGATCAGGAGTTCAAGACCAGCCTGGCTGAGGTGGTGAAACCCCGTCTGTACTAAAAATACAAAAATTAGCTGGGCGTGGTGGTGGGCACTTGTAATCTCAGCTACTCAGGAGGCTGAGGGGGAGAATTGCTTGAACCCAGGAGGTGGAGGTTGCGGTGAGCCTAGATTGCACCACTGCACTGTAGCCTGGGTGACAAAGTGAGACCCAGTCTCAAAAAACAAACAAAAAGAAAAACAAAAAAAACCGAAACCCTTTCATTTTCTTAAAAATGGGCGTTGAGCCACACTTGTGACTTCACTCAGAGGGTAGGGGACAGTGGAAGTGGCTCCAGACGTGCAGGCTTAAGACCTGAGTTCAATTACATTACGTAGTTACGTAAAAACTACAATCCAGTTGATTTTTCTAGCACAGTTCAGTTTTTGTTTTCATCTCTTAACCTGCACTAGAATGTCAAATAGGAATGTAGTATGTAGGTTCTTGTGTACCACATTCCTTTCGATGAATCCAATGTTAAGTGAGTTTTTCCCATAAGAAAACAACAGGCCTCCGTTGTGTATTCAGCTTGTCGTTCTGGGTCACAGACCTGCCCCTGCCCAACGCTTGTGCCTGCCTGGTCTCTGCTTTCCTTTATGTGAAGCAGTCTCTTGCACCTCAAGCTTACTTTCTGCTTTCATTTGGGTCTGTGTTGCCGCATTTCAACTTCTTTGTGAATTTCAGATTTGTCACATCCCTTTTACATTTGATTCTCTCTCATCTTTTAAAGTACTGGCAGTGTCACCTCACTGATTATTATTTCCTTACGTTCTGCAGCTAAAAACAGTAACTGAAGTTGTTTTGGAGAAATTCCTCCTGTGGTCTGTGTATTATGATTCCTGTCTCTACAGATAACCGAGCTGGCACCGTATTTCCCTCTCTTGTGATGGACACATGGTCCACACACGGCAGCCAGTGAGACACTGGAGGGGCAGGACCTTCTGTTCCACCTACAGGCAGCAGGGGTAGAACCCCCACCCCACCTCCACCCCCAGCTCCGCAATGACAGATATGAAGTCTAAAGCTTAGGGCCTGTCAGTCTCCGCTGTCTGTCATACTTTCACTTGCAATCTGGTTATGAGCGTAGATGAAAAGATCACCTAGGTACACTCTGCCTCTCTGCAGGAAGTGGCTACCGGCCATAAAGACCCCTTCTATGGCCTAGCACAGTGATTCATGCCTGTAATCCTGCACTTGGAAAGCTGAGGCAGGAGGATCTCTTGAGCCCAGGAGTTCAAAACCAACCTGGGCAAAAATATGAGCCCTCTGTCTCTACAAAAATAAAACAATAAAAATTTTTTTAAAAAACAGCTGGGCATAGTGGCATACACCTGTAGTTTTAGCCACTGGTGAGGCTGACACAGGAGGATCACTTGAGCCTGGGAGGTGGAGGCTGAAGTGAGCTGCTATGATCCCACCACGCACTCTAGCCTGGGCAACAGAGACCCTCAAAAAAAAAAAAAAGAAAAAGAAAAAAGAAACTCCTTTTCCACTAGAGGTCGCTGTGCTTCCCAGGCAATAAGGCCTAAGGTGGGGCTCAGCCTGAATCTTCAGTGTGAGCTGGCAACAGTGACTACACCAACTCAAAAACTCAAAGCAGAGTTGCTAAGAATAGTATGCATTTTGCCTGGAATGCATTAGAGATAAGGAAGTGTAGAAAAAAATTTACCAAGAGTCCAAAATAACCAAACAAAAGCTAGCATTCCTGGAGAGAGGAGAGGCTTGCTAAACAGAGGCCATGGGGAGGAGCTCAAGTTTGCTGAGACTCCAGGCAAAAGCAGAAAAGCTTTGCAAAGCAAACACAGTTACCACATAGAATTCCCAAGCAGCTGGTGAGTTGCTTGTATTCAAGGTATAAATTTCAAGCCACAAATTCAGCTATGCAAGAAATGTAACTTTATTATTTAGAACTGAACCTAAATTTCAATTTTGAGTGTATACCACTGAATGGGAGAAGCTGGGTCTGGGAATTAATGGCCCTCCACCCCAACCCCACCATCCGGAGGGGTCCAGGGGCTTCTGATTCCCAGGCATAGCTGAGTAGGGTGTACATCTGGTACGGGTCACCATCATCTGTCCATGCTGGCATCTACAAAGAAGTCTCTCATTCTGCCTGACCTCTGACTCTTGCTCCAAGCAGGTTACCACTGGTCCCCTCCATCCCAACTATAGGACTGTTTCTGATCTGCCTCCCTCCTGGCGTGTCCAAGTTCCTTAGAATGACAATTTCATGGGGCCTTCAGGCAGGCTTTCTGCCCTAGTGCTCCTGTACTAGGGGGTTCTCCAAGGGATTCTAGAATCTTTTCATTTGCCTGAGTTTAATTCTGAAACACATCATGGGTCTTCCACACTCTCGGGATTCCCTGAAACAATGGAGATTCTTTACATGGACACACATGCACACATGGCTTGTGTTTCTGCACATGCGCACGCACGAATGCAAACACGTGCACACATGGGCACACTTTATTATTCTGAGGGACCTTCCAAAATCTGAGCTATCTTTTCAGTTTCTCGTTGGGGTTGGGGAGTGGTGCTAACAGCTGAGAAGCTGTTATCTCTTACTAAACATTCTCCTATAATTTTTGTTTATGGCAAAAACTGTAAGCTCCCAGTCCTTCAAGATTTAAACTTTTAAAGCTAAAAAGTTCGTGCTCTTGAAGCTGATAAAGCTCCTCTCTGCTTTGCTTATGAATCATCCCGCCCCTGGGCCAATGACTGCTGCTGACTGAACAGTGGGAGGGTACAGCATACAAGGAAAAGGGGAGGGAGGTGGGGAGGGAAGCCTGTCTACTCTCTCAGAGCTGGGAAACCAACTGTAAATCAGAAGCTCGCTTGGTTGCAAGGTTTTAGGAATTCCAGGTGGTAGATAACTAAGGGTCCAGGGTTAAACATTCTTGGTCCCTAGAGCAAGTGTTACTGGGGACTCTGAGGGACAGCAAAGTATCTGTTTCAAGAGGTGGCAGAGGATCAGTGAGGACAGGCAGGAGTTTCTCTGTCCTGGGACTGACTTTCTGACCCAAGGCTGGGCAGTTTTCACAAATGAAGTTTGGCTTCCAGTTAAAAACCGGCCAGTTCTCTGTGAACTTTTAATCCTTTGTTCAAATTTTTTATTGTTTCCTTTGTATAAGCTGCTTTGTGCCTGGAGCTCTCATCTGACTCGCTCTATAGAGTAATCCTGTAATTGAGGGTAAGCGGCTAATGGCCTAAGAAGTCCTCGTGGAAAAACCGCACTCTCTGCTCTCAACGTTAGAAGCTGTGTATGTGCAGGGGTTACTCAACTCTCTTGAATCCTGCTTCAGATGGCTACGAATTCCTGGAGATCCTGAAACAGGTTGCCCGGGACAACACTGACAACCCCGACCTGAGCATCCTGTGGATCGACCCCGACGACTTTCCTCTGGTGAGTGGCTCCAGCCAGCACCCCATCCGCTGTCGCTGTCACAGCCTCATGATTGCATTTAGCATCCGAGGAGGTGAAATAGGCAGGAACACTTGAAGAAACCCAGTGGCGACCCCCATCCGGTGTGGGAGGTCTTAGCCCTTGGGGCAGTATTGAACTTGGGGCCTGGTGCTGACACTGAAAGGGTTAGGCTTAGTGTTCTCACTCCCTGGAGACCAAGAGTTGAAGACCCTTGACCCTTGGGGGCCCACCCAAGTGAAGCAGGGTCAACTTCTTCCTCAGCAGCTCCAGAGCTCCCTGTCCCCAGAACTACTTTTATTTTCTGGGTGGGACCATCATTCTGAGGCCACCTGAGTGACTAAGTAATAAAAATCAGAGATGAACATTTTGCCTCGAGTTCGGAACGTGGTGGAGAGAAACAGAACATGCGTGTCATGTTCATTGCGTTCTCCTAGGACCTAGCGTAGTGTGTAAGCCCACGATGAATATGCGGGAAACTTCAAGTCCACACTCTTGCCAGTGTCCGTGATCAACGAACACCCAAAAGCTTTGTGGACACCCAGATGCTTTGATTATACTTGGCTTTCAAAAAGAATGAGCACAATTTGTACAGTACATGAATTGAACCCACTGCTCCCTCCCACACTGGATGGGGGCTGCCACTGGGTTTCTTCAAGTGCTCCTGCCTATTTCATCCCCTCGGATGCTAAACACAATCATGGAATACATAATAATCTCAGATGATGAGCATAGCTGGTGTACGCTCCTGTATGCCTGGAACCATAGTAATACTTTACATGCCTCTTCACAGCGAATCCTCTCAACCACCCTGTGAAGCAGGTGCTGTCATAATCCCTGTCACCAGGTGGAGAGAGTGATAGCTGGGGAGGGGAACGCTAGAGAGTGATAGATGTGCTATTCCAGCCGAGGTCTGCACGATGCTAAAGCTTGGCCTACCAACTGCTTTAGGTAAAAGCTTACTGCGGTATCAGTAGAAGTTGGTCATGAGGTTATGAATGATGACTTTGTCTGCCGAATGACGGATACTATGATTAAATAGAGAAAACGGAGAGGGATCTCAAGAGTCCTGAAAATCAGTCCTATGTAGAGGAGGGATGAATCAAAGGCAGAGGCCTCCATGATACTTGAGACCAATGTCGTAGCACTGAGTAAATGGCCACTTACGACTGCATACGGTACAGCTTTGTGGATCCGGCTTCTGCCTGGTTGCGTTTCTACTTTGCCCGTTTTGTTACACAAGCTTGCAGACGGTTTGCAGTTCTCCTGGCTAGTTCTTTTTTTTTTTTGACAGGGTCTTACTCTGTCACCCAGGCTGGGGTGCAGTGGCATAGTCTCAACTTACTGCAGCCTCAACCTCCAAGGCTCAAGCAGTCCTCCTGCTTCAGCCTCCTGAGTAGTTGGGACTGTAGGCGCACACCATCATGTCCAACTAATTTTTAAATTTTCCTATAGAGATAAGGTCTCACTATGTTGCCCAGGCTGGCTGCAAACTCCTGGGCTCCAGCAGTTTGCCCACTTTGGCCTCCCGAAGTGCTGGGACAACAGGCATGAGCCGCGCCCGGCCTCTCTTCCTCTCTTCCGGCCAGTTCTATATGTTTGCCTTGGTGTTTGCAAAGAAGAAATCTTCAGAGTCTTCTTATTTCCAGTTTCTTGAATATGCCCAGTCCCTGTTAGGCCATATATTTGCTTGGTGATTTTCTACCACTGAATCATCTCCATTAAAAAAAAAAAAAACAGGGGCCAGGCGCGGTGGCTCATGCCTGTAATCCCAGCACTTTGGGAGGCTGGGGAGGGTGGATCACAAGGTCAAGAGATCGAGACCATCCTGGTCAACGTAGTGAAACCCCGTCTCTACTAAAAATACAAAAAAATTAGCTGGGCATGGTGGCGCGTGCCTGTAATCCCAGCTACTCGGGAGGCTGAGGCAGGAGAATTGCCTGAACCCAGGAGGCGGAGGTTGCGGTGAGCCGAGATGGCGCCATTGCACTCCAGCCTGGGTAAGAAGAGCAAAACTCCGTCTCAAAAACAAACAAACAAACAAACAAAAACACACAAACTGTGGCCCCTTGCTCCTTTATTTTTGCCCCAGTCAGAGATTTATCCACATGGAGTCCAAGCCTGGTTGAATGAAGAAGACTTCTTACTTACGACCCATCACGGCTTTCCCAGCCATCTCATGTAGCACGGTGGCACAAGATAAGGGATTTTTAAAATGGGACATTAAAAAAAGAGGTGGAGGAAATGGCTCTATGAACTATAAAAGAGCCACAGGTAATTTGGAAAGCAACATTAGACCACCTGTGTAATATTCTTTCTTACAGCTGTAGACACGTACATGTTGCATAATTTATGCTGTGTCATCTTTTATTTAATGCTTGTTTGAAGTGCTTGAAGTCTGAGCCCAAGTCTCCAATTTGCTAAGTGCCCACAGCTGTTTTGAAGACCTTTAACAAATGGTGACCCAGTTACTGCAATGGGACGGCGGGTGGGTCCAGCCACAGAGAGCGGCCTTCGAGGAGAACGCCCTCTGCCTGCTGTCTTATCTGATTTTTGTTGCTGCAGCTCGTTGCCTACTGGGAGAAGACTTTCAAGATTGACCTATTCAGGCCACAGATTGGGGTGGTGAATGTGACAGATGTAAGTACCCCCTCTGAAGGCCTGCCCAGGCACCCCCGGCCTGCCCTGTCTTCTGCTACACAGCCTAGATTGTGGGAGCATCTATAGGAGTCCAGACTTTTCAGAAGAGGGCAGGGGTCCTGCCCAAGGAAACCTGCTAGTGTGTTCCATGCCTGGTCTCCGAGCCAGTTTCAATCTGTGGTTCCATGGCTGTCTTCCGTGAGCAATTTTCTTGAAAATTGCTGGTCTATCGGCCAGCCTTTCCTGAATCACGATTTGGAACTTTACCCTCAAGTAAACTCTCCAGAATTTACCCCCAAAGCCAAACAACAAACGACAAGGTCTCTTTACAGAAGGGAACCCACACCAGAAGCCGTCATTGCGCCATGGGTGATGGGGCCATCGCGGCCCAGAATCCCAGGCAGGCAACTACACCATAGCCAGGAGACCAGGCCTGCAGAAGGGAAGGAAGAAAAGCATATACCAGCAAGGGGCTTCTCCTCATGATTCAGGCGCTGCTGAGCTGAGGGTGGGACAGGCTCGTGAGGTGGACTGGCAGAGCGTGAAGAAGTCTTAGATGAATCAGACATCTGATTCAACTCCACCATCATAAAACCGAAGCTGGGACAGGTACAAGCAGGCAAAGAGTGGACAGAAAGGGATGCTCACAGAAGATCATTAGAGCCATAATTAATTGACGTAGAATCCTTAAGAATGGAGGCCAGTTAGCAATGTCGTTTTGCCCTGTTGGTAGATGTTCATTTAGCTTACAAAATCTACATTCATTTATTTTGTAAACTACTTTAAAATGAATAAGAATAATATATAACTTTTAAAATATGCTCAAGTGAAAACATTTTAAAACAGAACAGTAAAATAGAAGGTGAAAATAAAAAGTATTTCTTACTCCCCGACCCAATCCCTAGTGTCATTCATATATATATATATATATATATTCCATTGGGTAAGGGGATACACATTTCCTTTTATGCTACACAGCAGTATACTACACATTCCGTCTTGCAGGTTGGCATTTCCATTTAACAATGTGCACATTCCTGACAGGTGTAAGAGACACTGGGGCACTCAGCATAGCTACTCAGCACAGATACCCCTGGTCTGGCTCAGCCTTCATGCATTCACTCACTCATTCATTTTGTCCCTCACCGCAGGCCGACAGTGTCTGGATGGAGATTCCAGATGATGACGACCTTCCAACTGCTGAGGAGCTGGAGGACTGGATTGAAGATGTGCTTTCCGGAAAGATCAACACTGAAGATGATGACAATGAAGATGAGGGTGAAGATGATGACGATGATGATGACGATAATTCTGATGAAGAGGATGACAGTGATGATGATAATGATGAGTAGCCCAACTCCAGACAATTCTGATGGAAGCAAAGCCACAGCTACCCACTACCACAGACAGCACGGGCGGCGGCAAGCAGCCGCCCCACACCCAGCCAGCTCCTTTCCCTTTTCCATCATCTCTTTTCCCTCTCCCTTCACATCAGGAACAGTATCATTCAGCTAATGCCTTTTCAAATGCAGCAATCCCACTTGGCAGGGAAAGGAGGGAAGTGATCTCCACGTTGACTGTCTTGACTGTCATGGAGCAGATCTTGTTCTTTGCTGGACCATCAGGGGTCATGGCAGTGCCCGAACATGGCAGTCTGGGATGAATAATTCCCTAACACAGGTTTACTTGTCTTTGACTATGACAGTAACAGAATTGACAACTTGCTAACTCACAAGCATCGAGTGACCTTCTAATCAGAGCCCAGGGAAGATACATGATTGATGATTTCGTTCCCTCCATACCTGGAAAATCAGAGAGACCCCTCCTCTAGCCAAGGCAGTTCTTCTTAGGGAAGCCGCAGCCTTGGAAGCAAACTTATAAATCATATTCTCGTGGCTCTGTTAAACTTATTTCAAGTGATGGTCATTTATATCATTATGAACTTGGATACAGAAACGTATACAGGTCACCGTCATTTCTAGTATGTTAGGAAACAGGAATGGGAGGTTGAGTTGCTCTGTGCAACTTCCTTCTAGTTGTCAAGTCTCACATATTCATCAGCAGGAGGGGAGGGTGGGGGAAAACTAGAAAGATGAAAGGTTTCACATTTTTCTGATGGGTTCGTGTCTCTGATTGGGTCAGCTGGCTTCCTAGCCTACGCTGGGATCTGAATACCCCTTCTCTGTAGCTGCTAGTGAGCCTTCCCATTTAGATGAAAGGTTGCTTTATCCAGCAGTCAATTAACTGCCCACTTATCAGGACTCACACAGTTGGTCAGGGCAACAATAATTGGAGTTCGTAATTATGCCCTGAGGCGCGGAGAAAGAAATCCCGAAGTGCCTTCCGAGCTGTCTAAAAGTTAACTTGTGCTTGGTAGTTTTAGTGTTAAGTGTGCAGTATGATTTTCTAATTTATTTTCTCAATCTTTTAGCACATGCGTAAGACACTGTGCAAATTTTTTGAAAATAGAGCAATCCTTTTGTGGGATACTACCTAATCCTGTCAATAAACTCATATTTTGAAAACATTCAGACATTGTTGAAAATGCTATTTCGATGTTTCTAACTCTGCTCATTCTCATCTGGCTCCAGTCCTACCTCCTGATATCTTCCTTCCTAGCCCCGCTTCCTCTGCCTGCTCTTTAAAGGATGGTGTTTCCTAGCATCTCTACTCTACACACTCTTCCAAGGTGATGTCATCATGCCCATCAATACTATCCATGTGCTAATGACCTCCAAATACGAGTCTCTAACCTTGACCCCTCACCTCATTTTTAGACCCATTCATTCAACTGCCTCCGGACATCTTGACTTGATGTTGTAAAGCGCTTCAGACTCAATACAACAAAACCTGAACTCATTGCCTTCTCCCTAAATATATCCTTCTCCTCTTCATGGAGTCCTAGTTTGGGTGGGTGATAGCACCATTTATCCAATTGTCTAGGTGACCTGAGGGTGCCTCGTCCCCTCTGCGCTTTGTCCATCCCTGGACCATGACACTTATTATTTAAGGAGCCTGCAATTTTCACTAAATTGCAGGCTCCTTAGAGGCAAGAAATGTATCTTGGTATCCCTAGCACTTAGAACTTGGCCCATCACAAAGTAGATACTCATTTATTGAGTTGATGCATGAATAATTGATTAACCAGAATACTTATAATTCCCTAACACTATTGGGTAACAGAGCTTACAGAGTGGTTTAGTCTATTTTTATTGATAGAAAGGGATAACTGAGACTGGGTTATTTATGAAGAAAAACTATTCACTTGGCTCACAATGCTGCTGGCTGCAAGAGTGGCCATCAGGTGAAAGCCTGGCCTTCCTCCACTCATGGCAGCAGGTAAAGGGAAACCAGTGTGTCCAGAGATCACACGGTGAGAGAGAAAGCATGAGAGAGAGAGAGGAGGTGCCAGGCTCTTTCTAACAACCAGCTCTCCAGGGAACTAACAGAGCGAGTACTCACACCCCGCCTCCTCCAGAGAGGGCATTCATCTATTCATGAAGGATCCATCCATGACCCAAAAACCTCCCATTAGACCCTACCTCCCAACACTGCTGAGCTGGGCATTAAATTTCAACATGGAATTTGATGGGAACAAATATCCCAACGATAGCACACAAGGTGTATTACCAGGGTTTAGTTATGCAGATATACACTGTGCACATTTTGCTTAATGGCCCAAAGAAATAGCTTATCAGTAATCTATTCAATGAATATCTTCTAGTCAATTGCTTTCTCTAATCTCTGTCCATGCAATAGGTAAGCATTTGATTGTGTGCTGTCAAAATTCTATGCTGCGTTAAGCAGAAAACAAGCTTCATATTTCTTTGCCAAATAATCAAGTTTCCTTTAAATAGACCTATCTAAAATCAGTTGATAATTTAACTTGAATTGCCAAGCCACTTAGAAAAACAATCCGATGTTCACCTCCCACATCAACCCAAGGCCTGTTACTTTTCTTCCTTCTTATTTGACTCAACTACCTTTCCACTTGCTGGTTTACTCAAAAGATCTCTTTTGATGTTTTGCTCAAAAGATGGAGATATTTTACTCAAAAGACCTCCATGTTTTAGATCCTAAGGATTTCATTTTCAGTTATTTAAAACATTTTCTTCACGCTAGAACGATTGACAACCAGTAGTTTTTGTTACGATGGTAGTTGTACTTTCCCAATCTATCATAATTGTCTCGGTTTCCATAGAAACATGACAGGTTGTCTTGAAATTTCGAAGGTCTCAAAATTATGCAAGAGTGAAAAATGTCCCTGAAAAAGTAAGCAACTTTTTAGATTGAAATAATCACATGAAGAAAAAAAATAAGATACGATTTGAGATTTCAATTTATTTTCCAGGTTTACGGTATAAAAAATGTAATGTGTAAAAGAAAACATTTTACGGTTCATTGGGATGGGGGGTTATACTGGAGGACCCAAAAGGGAACGAAATAACTTGGATGACAGGTACAGTATTCCATTAGAGACACTAACTCTGTTACTGACCTCGTAATGAGAAGCAGCTTCATAGAATAAACCTTACGAATGTAAGCAAATGGACTTGTACGGATGGTTCCTGGTAGAGTCATTCATTCATTTACATGCTTTCAAATGTCTCAAAAGAGCTCACCACCCAGTTTATGCAGTAATTCACTCAGGCCTTGTCATATACATATGGTGACCCTGAGCAGAGGCTGGTTGGCAAAACTGTCCCTCCTGGTTATAAAGTACAGTATTAACTAATCAGAAAGAACAAAAAAGATCCCTGGCCACATTGCTGCACAAACAGCTATGACTATTACATAAAGACAGGTGGTTTCATCTCTGAACTTTCTAAATTGGTGCTGGACTTGAAACCCAGAAATGTAAAGCCCTTCTAACCAAATCAATTAACAAATAATCTCCTCTCAAGGAAGACCTGCTTGGCCCAGGCCTCTCTGGTTCTCTTGGTAGCATTTCTGCTGAGGAAGGGGTCATCTATAATGTGAGTTAAATCACTGAACCAGTATCTGCCCCGCCCTCATCTCTGGTAGCATCCTACACTCTATGCTCGTAAATGACTTGGAAATCAAATTTGGTTAATCACACCATAACTTAAGGGTCCCAGAGGAATTTGCCATTTAATTAAAGCCTACGGTAAACTTTTATAAAAAGAAATTGTTGCCAAAGTTTAGACTTTTGTATATTCCTTTTAAAGAATGGTGATGGAGGCTGGGCACGGTGGCTCACGTCTGTAATCCCAGCACTTTGGGAGGCCGAGGAGGGTGGATCATGAGGTCAAGAGATCGAGACCATCCTGGTCAACATGGTGAAACCCCGTCTCTACTAGAAATACAAAAAAATTAGCTGGGCATGGTGGCGCATGCCTGTAATCCCAGCTACTGAGGAGGCTGAGGCAGGAGAATTGCCTGAACCCAGGAGGCGGAGGTTGTGTTGAGCCGAGATTGCGCCATTGCACTCCAGCCTGGGTAGCAAGAGCGAAACTCCATCTCAAAAAAAAAAAAAGAATGCTGATGGAAAGTAAGTGAATGTTCCATTACCTCTATAACTGAGGGGTGCTGGCAAATAAAAAGCAACTATCACATCTTTCTGCAAGGCCCCTAAATGGCAAAGATGGGCAACTGTGTAAATTCCCTACAGGCTGAGTTGAACTAAACTTGTCACCTGGAGATCAGATGCCCAGGTCTCACTAATTCCCTAAACAGCAGTCTCTGGTCCCCACAGACGAAGCTTTCTTAGGCTGAGGGCTTTTTAGAGTTAAACACTCCTGAATGACGAGCAGCTTCACAACAAAAGGCCATGCCCGGAAGTGAAAACTCAGATAGATACAAGCACGTGCAAAACCAGACAACTGCACATTCAAATAATGTGATCCGAATATCATTTCAGTGCCAAGGTAAGTGTCGAAGACACTGTTAAAAGTCTGGGTTTGTCACATTTGTCCCCAAGCCTCAAAATAAGTGTCTTTCTTCCACCAAGACAGGACGAATCCCTGATGTTTGTAAGCTGAGAGAGACATAAATGGTAGACTCTTGGTGCCATATCAAAAGAAACTGTTCGTGGCGCTGCATCTGGCTTTAGGGATCTGTTCTTTTGCTGGAGAGACTAAAACAACCCAGTAAAGAGATTTATTTAAAGACAAAACAAATTGGGTTGTCTGTGTAGAAATGTAACAGGACCCAGGAAAAAGGGACGTATAGAGCCCTAAAAGTTAATTTTATTCCGAAGTTTCACATTTCTAATTTAATTTTATTCCGAACTTTTACATTTCTAATCCATCGCATCTTAATTCCTAATGAGATGTAACTAGGAGAGATGTGAGCACCATCTTCCCTTCACCGTCTTCCATTGAAAGCAAACAGCAGGGCAGAAAACCATCTATGCACAACTGAATCAAAACTTACTATATATGAGAATAAAGAAAAATGCTTTTCCAAGTCCTGTTTTGTCTGCTCTGTCAAAAGTCTTGAGGGCAAGTGTGGGAAAAACAGTGGGATGCAAACTGCTTGCTGAGAACACCTATGTCAAGGAGACAGGCCAGGGACTCCAGCCCGAGATCCCCCCGCCTGGGGCAGCCCCTCTCACTCCAACCAGGGAAGAAGGTTGGGGCATAATGTATCATGTCACCAGAGAGAGGCCAGGCCAAGCCTTTGCCTGCCCCCACTGTACCCAAGGCCCAAGGCAGCAGAGTGGGAGCAGCAGGTGGGGCCAGGCAAAAGCAAAGAGGGGCTGAAGGAACAGCAGCATCCCGGTCTTGAGGCAGGTGCAACATTGCCAGGGCTGGGTTTTCCAGAAGGAAGGGGGACTCTCAAGTTCTTTCCATCAAATATGCCAAGATATTTGCCAGCATAGTGGAGAAGCTTCCCAAAGGACAAGGTGTAATCCAAAGTGAAAGAACAGATCCTGCCTTCCACCCTCGGGTGTGTCTTTAGGTCCTTCCTCAACACCCCAAAGTGCCAAATAATTTAGACCATACTTCAAGGTCCAGAAGACTGAGGGGTTAGAATCAAACATCTAGTTTGAGACTCTGTTAACCAGCCATGAGACCTTGGGCAAACCCCTTCCTCTCTCATCTTCCTTTTTTCACCTGAAAAACTAACATAACTCCTATCTTGAAAGACTGTGGGGCTAACAAGGCTGGGTGGAACACGGGCTGTGATATACCATACCTGATTAATGTGTTAGTAGCCTTTCCTTTCTTTGAAAAACATGTTTTGTCAAAACGTGATCCAAAATAGAATTTTCTGAGCATATATTTGGTTAGAGCTCAATGCAGTTATTTTAAGTGTCTAAACTATCTCATTTGACTACTGCACTGAATACCAGTCAAGCACGGTGGGCAGAAGAGCAATTCATATTTTATTTATAATAAAATACGACCACAAGGTTACATAGTAGTAAATTCACAGTAGTGATTTTGTTTGTTTGTTTTGTGGTAACAAATCCATAAAGCACAAACACTACCCAGAAATACTTAAATCACTTTACAATCACAGGGTCTCTGCTGCAGGACTATTTAAATAAATATGCTAACATTTCTGTGCTCCTTTAAGCGACCTACCACTTTTTAAAAATAAAGCCCAATTTGTAAGTTACATTAAGAAATATGTAGTAAGGCTTCCAGGGTAGTGAAGTTTGGGCAGTAATTCTCATAGAGCTTGACCTTTGTTTGTTTCTTGCGTTTTGCAGAGTCCTAAATCAAGAGTCTAATGAACTTGCCTGCAGGACAGCGGGCTCCCCAGAAGACAGTGCTGTCCTAAAGCCATTTACTCAGGGGAGGAGCCAGTGTCAGTGACGGAAAGGAATAAAGCAGGGGAGGGAGAAGTCATTGGTTTTAGAGTGACCTCTCAAAACACAGGGTTATTAGGTAATCTCTTAAACACAGGGGACTGCAGAAACACACCCTCACACACTCAGCTATATACACATTTCACACGTATCTGCCGAGCTACACACCTATCTGCTACAGATAACACAGATGTTAAGAGTCTGACATATAAATGAGCTATCCATCTGGTAATACACTCAGAGAAATGCTCACATACATGGAAACAAAAACGCACAAACAAATATGCATCCCCACTTAGGGAGACTTACAGCAGGGCCCAGACTGGAAGGTAAACCAAGGACTGACTTTTGTTGGTTTCACTGAGTGGCTGGAACACTCACTCAGCGCGTGGGTTGGAGCGGCAAGGTAATCAATTTCTGTCAGTCCAATATGCTGGTAGCATCCCACCAAGCTGTAGCCCTTAGGTAAATACGTGCACTCCAAAGTGATTATGAGAGGCAAAATGAGAGAGGAATCAACTACCACCTACTGTAGAGACGGGAGGGGTGAGCACTTCAGCCCTGTCCAACACACACCTGCACAGCCAGTCTCTCCATTAAAAAAGGAGTCCCAAGCCCCAGGCAATGAACCACACACAGCAAACACAGGTCACCTGCCTCTTACCATTTGTTGTAAAGAACTTGTCCTCTATGTAGATGTCAAAAAGGAAGAACAGAGGCATGTGGGGGGTGGGGGAAGACAGGGAGGTGATGGAAGTTGGGGAAAAAATTGGTGTTCAAGTATTTTCTCTAGGGCTTACTTTGCAAACTTTAGCCAAAGTATTATGCGTTTGACTTAACATTTTGATAACGCAAAGGATGGATGAACCATACAGCTTTAAAATCCCCTCTGAGAATGCATACGGAACTTTTTAACATCCGGTTCATGGACAATAAAAACTGTCCTATCTTCAAAAGGACACATTTAAGAACAAGTTGTCTACCAGGGAAAACCTCACCAGGGAAGAGCAGTCTCAGACATACACTCCTCATTAAGTCCTTTCACACTCAGTGCTCTAATTTTAATAGCTTAGGTTGAAAATGATTTTAAAAACCTGTAAACATTTAAGGCAAATGAAATCCTGTCTCCTGGAGTATGAACATATGCTCTACTAGTCTTAGGGCAGAGTGTACCCCCTTTTAAAAAGAAGAGCCTACTGGTTCCAAGAATTGAATAAAAATGCATTGTGTTCAATTGTGGGGTGCAGCTTTCTGAAACCTTAATTCTTTTAAATGTCATTTACATTGTTCCCGCTGCGCCAGTAACTCCAGCTATTAAGAGGTTGAAAGTGCAAAGGCTTTACAAAGATCCTGCATTTTATTTTGTTATTCTTTCAAAAAGAACTCAATACAAAGTCAATGTAAAAAAATCAATACTCAATTTAAAACAGAAACAGTAATTCTTGAAAGTCCGACATTCTCCTATGCAAAGACTGGGAGAGAGAGGAAGGGGGAGAGAGAAAATAAATTCTCTAATTTAGACCTTTCTTCACCCTGCTGGGAATGCACATGCCAGAGCAAATGAATGTAGCTTCACCCCTTCTGGACTGGTCACTTAAGATAGAATCGGAAGAACAGTATTTTAGAATGGTGACGAACAGTGTTGTTATTAACTATATGTATATACACTTATGGCACTTCGAACTGCACTGTATCTATGACACAGCAACCTCTGACATAGCCCACCTCACACCTGCCATCCCTTACCCCACCTCCCAAAATATTTCCTGAGAAAGACATTATTAGGAACTTCCAGTTTAAAGGCGAAAACTCAGAACAAAAGCACCATGGTTACATGGTATGTGTTTTTTCTAAACAGAACCACATAGTTGAATAGCATATCTTGGCTTCACGCCACACCTATGGGTTCCCGCTTCCTTCTTCTCCAGCATGTCTTTTCCCAAGCTGAAGGCTGGTGATTGAAGAATGTTGTTTACTTTTTCAGGTACAGGTGTATTACAGAGATCCGAAGCCAATTTTGATTTTTACAATGACACAAAATACTGTACCACCTGCAGAGTTCAAGAAGCAGGGGGTAAAGAGCATTGGACAGTGTCATCCTGTACTACAGCAAGGTGGCCAGTTACCTGAAATACTGGGAAAAGCAAGAGTGAACACTTAAAAGGTCTGTTGCAGATACAGGAAGGCAAGTGGGGGCAAAGGCAGCCCAGTGCAAGAGGTCCAGATGGGGCTCCTGAAGAAGCTCCCTTGCGGCGGGGCTCCACCAGGATGGCTCCTCTACCCACAACCCAAGCAGTGTCTGCTCTCCCAGGGCCAGGGGAAAGCCACTGAAATCAGCGCGTGCCTGTCATCCCAGCTACTCAGGAAGCTGAGGCAGGAGAATCGCTTGAACCTGGGAGGCAGAGGTTGCAGTGAGCCGAGATTGTGCCACTGCACTCCAGGCTGGGTGACAGAGCGAGACTCCATAAAAAAAAAAAAAAAAAAAAAAAAAGGGAGAGAGACAGCTCACAGATGAATGTTTCTGGACAAGAAGATGGGCTCCCTACTCTCCCTTTCCCAAACTCCGCAGAGTGTCCATTTTCCTTTTCCTCACTTTATCAGCAGCTAAGAGTGGGAGCAAAAGGAGCCTCTTTCCTGGTCCTAAGTGGCTGAGGCGACGAGCTGCAGTGACGGTGGTCAGAAACACCAGAAACAGGGGCTGGACAGCAGCAGGTGCTAGCACGGCCGGCAGGCTTTGGTCTCCCTGGGCAGGACAGCTTGCTATCAGCTTCGGGAGAACTTACCACTCCAGGAAATCAAGTGGTTCCAAGTCGCACCTGCCAATCCCAGAGTCACAGTGTTAGTCTCCCCTGGTTGGTGTAGAGTAGTGGGGAGGAAAACTGGGCAGGGTGTGGCTCCTGCTAGAGCCTAAAGGGGGCATTCCCACTGCCTGCCCTCCCTGTGCTCCACCTGCTGGGCACCCCGCACTTTCCTATGGAAGCAATCCTGGGACAGACTTGAGGCTGCACAAAGAGCTTGAGGGCACACATAGAGAGCCAGGGCTGCCAGCCAGGTGGGGGTATGATGGCATGGAGGCCAGGTGGGCAGCTGCAGGGCCCTGAAAGGGCTACCTGCTTCAAGCCAGTAGCGGGGCGGGATCAGAAACAGGGTGGGTAGGTTTTCTCTTTGGGAAAAAAAACCAAAATCAAATCACTTAACAGCTGTAAACAACAGTGCACATTTTTTGTTGTGATCTTTCTGTGAAGAACCTAAGGCAACAAAGAACAAAGACGAAGGCAGGTATCTCCTGAACTGCCCACGACTCTCGTGGGTGACGTGATACTGAACGTTAACATACACAAATACAAGTGTGGATGCGTCGTGACTGGTTTCCTGAAACAGAATGAAGGTGTGTCCCCTGGAAGTCTACAAGTGGGCTGACCGGAGCAATGGGGGACGTGGTACTGGACGAAAGGCAGGAAGGAGTCGTTGTAAGGCGAGGCTCCCAGGAATGCACCAGCTCCACTTTGGTTTACAGCTGTAACAGAAACTCCAGGGAACAGCTTCTTGAGAAGTCCTATCGACAAAAGTCAGATGTCATCAGTCACTTTTTTTCAGGGTGGACAGTCCCTGCTTCCTTCCAAATAAAGTGCAGATGGTCAAAGGATACTGGTCTATCATCTGCCAGTTTCAGTCAGCAATGAAGAAGAATTAAAAAAAAAAAGACACCCCTCTGGGATACATATATATCTCTCTATATATATTTTTCTTCTTTTTTTTAATAAAGCCACAAATATAGAACTTTTAAACTGATGTCTCAGACTGCAAGCGAAGGACAAATCTGTGAGATTTGGGGTCTATGAACTCTTCAGAGAGTACGATGAATGGAATTTTCTTCACATTGACTACGAGGCTAAAATCCAAGCACTTAAGGACGAACACAATTCCATCCCGTAATCCGTTAGTCACAGCCTCGTCACTGACAAGCCTCCACTGTGTAGACAGCCAGCGGTCCTTGTCATACTGCACGGTGGGGCCCGCACTGAGGTACCGTTCTAGGAAGGCCTGGAAGCAGAGGAGAAAAGCTATTAGAGAAGAAACAGCCCGTTCTAAGGGCAGTCCTGCCAGGCAGCTATGCACTCTCACACCTACGAGGAACATTTTCCAAATGAACCAGCTTAGACCAGAGCCCAGCTCATCACACTCATCAACCAAGTCATCATTGGGAAGGGAAGACTTCTTGGACTTCCTCATTCCCCTTCACGTACCACCAGCCAAGGGTGAGAACAGTGGTACTCACAGAGGGGAGCGAAGGTAGAGTGGCTGGAGGCCAGCACCCCTGCATCACTGCATTCCTAGGGTATGGCCCTACTGGACCTGTTTCTCCCTGTCTTCCTCCTCCTGAACCAAAAGTATCCCAGGGCCAGGGCCAAAGGAGCACTGAGGAAACATGAGTTGAATATACTTGCATGAATTTTAAGTTCATGCTCTACCACTTATCAGCAGTGATTCTGCACAAGTCATTTATACTCTCTATAAGTGGACGCGGTGACACTACCTAAGTCACAGGGCTGCCATGAAGATGAGAGTGTTAGCTCTCAAAAAGCACTCACAGCAATGCCTGGCACGGTAAGCAAGCAATGGTTATTTCCTGTTGGGCTAAGTGTGCACACGGCAAGTGCAGGAGATGCCCAGGCCTGATGCCCCGCTTCCTTCTCCTGAGTTCTCTGAGCCAGTGGCACCTGGCTCGATGGAGTTCTCATACATGTGCTGTTCCTCCAGCTAAACGCTGTCATTCAGCTCATTCTTTCTTGTCCTTCAAATCTTAAGCCGCCTCCCCCGAACCTCTCAGGCGGATTAACATGTCCTCCTCCAGGCTCCTGTAATCACTGACTCTCGTGTGACCCTTTACTTTCAAAGTGATTGCTCACTTGCTTGTCTGCTCCCCACGCTACACTTCATTCTCTTGAAGGGCAGGGAGAATATTTTGTTGTTTTTCTAAAATGAGAATTTCCAATGTGCCTAGCACATACTAGGAGTTCAACAGCATGTGAATTAAATCAAATTAACACACTGATTTAGCTATAAGAAGGGAAGAAAGAATGAAATGAGCCAGTAATACAGACAGAAACATACTGGGATATATCAGTCAGGTCCCAGACAGAGTCAAGAACAGGTTTTATTTGTTTTGCTCAGATGGAGTCTCACTTTGTTGCCCAGGCTGGAGTGCAGTGGCACAATCTCGGCTCACTGCAACCTCTGCCTCACAGGTTCAAGTGATTCTCTTGACTCAGCTTCCCAAGTAGCAGGGATTACAGGCACGTGCCACCACACCCAGCTAATTTTTGTATTTTTAGTAGAGATGGGGTTTCACCATGTTGGCCAGGCTGGTCTTGAACTCCTGACCACTAGTGATCTGCCTGCCTCAGCCTCCCGAAAGTGCTGGGACTACAGGTGTAATCTGTACCCGGCAAAGAGCAGTTTTTAACAGGTATCCTCTTTTATTCACACCTTGCTAGGTATATTATTTTTCATCTGTGGAAACATCTATTGTAAGGCAGAAAGTAAGGCTTTGTCAGCTCTCATACTTCTAATATAAATATAGCTCTTATGAATCATAAGAAAAAGAAAATAACTCAACAATTAGAGAAATGAATCTAAAACAATAATTTTACAGGAGAATAAATATTATTGGAAAATTAGCATATAAATTTTTCTATCACATTATTAACTAAAGAAGTATAAACTAGAAGAATTAAAAACTAACTTCCTCCTCTTAGATGGACAATGATTAAAAAAATGACATCCAATGCTCCCAAGTATGTGGGAAACAAAAAATCTCAGATGTTAGAGGTAAAAGCATGAAAAAGCAACAGCCCTAGGAGGGCAATGTGGTAGGATCCACAACTCTGACCTGGCCATTTCTCTACTTGAAACTTATGTATCAGAAATACTTGTACGCTGTTTAAACCAGGGATTGACAAACTTTTCCAGAGATGTAAATATTTTCAGAGTTTCAAGCCATATCTCTGTCACAACTTAACTCTGTTGGTGCAGGGTGAAAGCAGCCATCGGGAATACATAAATAACAGGGCGTGGCTGTGTGCCAATAAAATCTGATTAACACGCCCAGCCCCTGGCTTTGACTAACGAAACCTCTTAATCCAAATGTGTATCAGCAGACAATCAGTTGAATAAATCACGGTATTCGGTAGAATAAGAGGTAGTTATTACCAGAAATGAGTTCTAGCTGTAGTTAGATCTGTATGAGTAAGATCTGTATGTATTGACTTGGAAAGACAGCTAAGGGATAGCCTTAAGAAAAAAACGCAAGGTTTTGTATATCGTATCTTTCTTTCTATATATATAGAGAAAGATAATATACATTATATAGAGAGATGTAGTATGTAAATCTCTATCATCTATCTATCTATCTATCTATCTATCTATCTATCTATCTATCTATCTATCTACCTTCCTATCTATAACTATCTTATATATAGGCTGGATCTATCTATCTATCTATCTATCTATCTATCTATCTATCTATCTATCATCTATCTATCTATCTCCATCTTATATATAGGCTGGGTCTATCTATCTATCTATCTATCTATCTATCTATCTATCTATCTCCATCTTATATATAGGCTGGGTCTATCTATCTATCTATCTATCTATCTATCTATCTATCTATCTATCTATCATCTATCTATCTTATATACAGGCTGGACCCGGGGCCTGTAATACCAGCCCTTTGGGAAGCTGAGGCCGGTAGACTGCTTGAGTTCAAGAGTTTGGGTTTGAGAACAGCCTGGGTAACATATCGAAACCCTGTCTCTACCAAAAAAATAGAAAAATACAAAAATTAGCCAGACATGATGGCGCGTGCCTGTGGTTTACACACACAAACACACACACACACACTCTCTCTCACACACACAAAGAGAGATAAATTGCCCCTTTTCTGTTTTGTTTTCCCATTTCAGCTTAACAACACCCACATATATTTGAAAGAATATACACCAACTCCTTATCAGTAAGAACTGTTTTAGGGGAGGGAGGATGAAAACTTCACTTTACACATAATACTTTCCTTTAATGTTTAGATTTCTATATGAACAATGGCTATTATACTTAATTCAGAAAAGTATAAGATTTTTAAATGAAATGAAAAGCAACCAGGAAACTTTCTAAAATCTCTAAAAAAGGAAAACAACTGCTTTGGATCTACTCGGGAAAGCCATCCTTTTACACCTGCACACCGATTTTCCTCATTTGCAACCACGGTAACGTTTCTGCATTCTACTTCTTGTAACTTACTATTCTAACAGACTCTTCCATGATTAAACAGGTGATATACCATAATTTATAAGCCACTATGATAGTTTTAAATTATTTCCACTGTGGAGGTATTACAGATTGTTTTGCAAAATACCACCCTTGTGCATATTCGTGTGTACAAACACCACCCTTGTGCATATTCGTGTGTACAAACACCACCCTTGTGCATATTCGTGTGTACAAACACCACCCTTGTGCATATTCGTGTGTACAAACACCACCCTTGTGCATATTCGTGTGTACAAACACCACCCTTCTGCATATTCGTGTGTACAAACACCACCCTTCTGCATATTCGTGTGTACAAACACCACCCTTGTGCATATTCATGTGTATAAACATATGACTGTACTAAATAGTTTTCCTAGGAGATTAGTGAGTCAATACAGAAAACTTTCTAGTTTCTTACTGAGTATTTCTACATTGCTTTCCTAAGGGTAGTTATTGGTTGACAATGTAACCAGCAGGATACACGTATAGTACAATGTATGAACGGGGGTCCTTACAAAAAACAGCTACCAAATGTTACATGTGTACCACATGCCACGCTCATCTACCCTCTACCATGTGACTTACATGCCATGTTGCCATATTTCATGTAATTCTTAAACAGCAACCCCATCAGATACACATTATTATTATCCTCATTGATACAAGAGCAAACAAGGATAGAGGAACTGAAAGAGTTAACTCATTTGAAGTGCTTAAAACAGTACCTGTCATATGACGAGGCCAGACTAAACAGCCATTATTATGATGGGTAAAAACACTGCTATCACTTTGCACTTGGGGTGTTGTAGAATTAGTTTTGCTGAATGGTCTTTCAGGTTATGGTATTTGGCACACTTTTAGGGATATGACAAGCAGCAGCCATGTATCTAATAGAGGGAAGGCTAATTTGTGCACAGTCACAAACCAATTAAGTGGTGGACCAGGATTTGAACCCACCTCTCTGTAGGGAAGTCATTTGCTATTTCTTTACTCTATTTTGCCTCCTTGGTCACAACCCTGTGTTAGACATATGGTTGTTTCTTGTAACACTCTTTATAGTGTGCTAAAGAGCATAATCTGAAAGACCACTCAGTAAAACATTCTACAATACCCAAAATGTCTGATGGCATTAATTTTTCCAATAATAATAATAATAATAGCTATTTAGTCCACCCTTATCATGACAGGTACTATTTTAAGCACTTGAATAAACTCAGTTCCCAAAATATGCAAATGAGATAGTTATTAGTATTATCTTAACCAATTAACAGGTTAGGAAACTGAGGCACAGAGCCATTATCATCTGCCCAAGGTTTCACATCTAGTTGGTAGAGGAGCCAGCTTAGAATGAATCAGTTCAGCTCCAGAGTCCATAATGTACCCCTAATCACTATTCTATACTCTCTCCAATCATTATTCCATACTGTTTCCAAGTGAAATTCTCTCCTCTGTTAGAATCTACAGGCCTTCGAAAGGCACATTTTAAAAACAATTGCACTAACATCATAGAAAATAATTGAGAATCACTAACTGCTATTACTTGATGTTTTAGAGAAGGCTTTGGCTTTATCACTTCTAGTAACACCCTAAAATTCAACTGGCCAAGCTCAGTGACAAGCCAGGCCGACAGTGGCAGAGCCCGCCTAGAGCAGCGCACCTTGGGGGTCATGCCGTTGGTGATGCAGAAGGCCAGGTGCTGCAGGATGCTCTCCATGCTGTGGTAGTGCTGCTGCCGGGTGGTGCGCAGGTACTTCTGGAGCGCCCTGGCCATGGAGGGGAAAATGGCCTGGGCGGCCTCCCTAGGGTCCATCACCTCCCCTGGGGCTTTCTGCTGCTCCTCGGCCTGGAGACGCTGAATGTGGATGAAGGCCTCTTCCACTGCAACCACCAGCCTAGAAGGTGATGTAACATTAAGTAAATCAGGATGTGCGAACAGAATGACGCCTGTCCACCCTGCTGTGGCCCGACCTGCCAACACACTCAAGGCCCAGTCACGCTGTCCCCTAGAGGGTGGACAGGGAGGAAGGGAGACAGAAACGCAACAGCAAAAATAACATGTGGAACAGGGGCCACAGGGGTCAGGGAGGAGCTCCAGGACTTGGAGATGAATTCTGTTCTCGAGTCTGCTGCCGATGAGCTTGGGAAATTCACTTAAATCCTTTTTTCATCTCTGCAACGGTTAGATGAAAAGAGTTCTATCTGAGGTCCCTCCAACTGGCTAAAAAAGGCTCTATACAGAGAGACGTGGCTGGTGGTGCAGAAGCAGACCTACAAAGAAGCAGAGCTGTGCACCCCCTGTCCAGCCACCCACACCAGCGGCCCCTGGGAAACAGGAAGAGGCATAGCACATATAACAGAAAGCACCTCCGTCCCCTTCAGGTAATATGACCTGACGGTAAACACCAGCAAGGGTCCAGGGGTACAGGACAGGCCCACTCAAGTGTGGGCTGGGGGCCAGGAGCATTGGCATCGCCCAGGAATCTGTTAGAAATGCCTAACTCCACACCTACTGGGCTGGGCCTTTGCAGGCAGGGCACAGAACCTGTAGCACGTATTTTAACAGCCCTCCCAGTGATGCTCATACCATCTTCAGTTTGAAAAACACTGGAGCAAGGTGCACTCCAAAGGTGTTCCAGCAGGTCGTGTTTTTAAACAGAAACCTGATTCTAGTGGTAAAAAAGAAAAGATTAAAGGTCTACAAGAGGCAGGGCACGGTGGCTCATGCCTAGAATCCCAGTACCTTGGGAGGCCGAGGCGGGCAGACCACTTGAGGTCGGGAGTTTGAGACTAGCCTGGCCAACATAGCGAAACCCTGTCTCTACTAAAAATACCAAAAATTATCCAGGCGTGGCGGTGGGTGTCTGTGATCCTAGCTACTCAGGAGGCTGGGCATGAGAATCGCTGGAATCTGGGAGGCAGAGGTTACACGGAGCCTAGGTCTTGACAGTGCACTCCAGCCTCAGCAATAGAGTGAGATTCTGTTTCTAAATAAATAAATATTTTTACAAGTAAATAAAATAAAATTTTAAAAGTCTACAAGAGGGTCCTGGCATCAGGAGGGTGGTATACCTCGCTTTCCGCTTCTTCACTCGCCGTTCGTGTTCCGCCTCTTCATAATACAACTCGTTGTGGCTGGAGTCCCTGCTCCGAGCAGCTGCAGCGATCATGGCCCGGGACTGGCCAGTGGCATTGTTACTGGGGCCTTTGGGGAAAGGACCGTGGAAGAATAGTGTATTAATGGGTGGAAAACAGCAGAAAACTAGTACCACAATCTATCAATGCTGTCTACCCGTCCCCTATGAAACACACACACAAATCCTAAAGGTCACTTCCCAGGAGGGTGAACTGTGCCCTGGCTCTGCATTTACTAGGTCCAAGGCAAGAGAACAGGGGAATCTCCCTAAACCCCAATCTGGTCAGTGGAAATGGAAAAAGAACGCAGAAGGGGATGAAGAATGCTTGACAATTAAAATGTTGGCCAAAACCACACAGAGTGTGTTGAAGATGTCACCATCTGTTACACAAAGTTTCAGTTTGGCCATAAGGGCAGCTGGGACATCAAATTTCAGCAACAATCGAATTTCATCAGAGACAGAATGAGAGGCATGGAGAGAACAAGGACTAAGAGACAAGAAAGAAAGTCAAAGGGCACGAGACACTGAGTCCACGCTGGAAAACAAGCAATGCTGGAATGTCATGGCAGCCACGTCTTTTATAGGAAATACCAATGCTCGAGGAAATGCAACATAACCATTAATTAACACAGACTCAGAAGTCCTGTCTTGTTCCCTGACCACTGACCACCTTAACTTTTCAGAAAGATAAGGCAGATTTCAGCCTTTCTTATGGATGACCTACTTGACTGGTGACTTGGTTTCACTAGAGGGAATCTTTGCTAAGCTTTCAGATGGCAAGTGGAATTAATCAATCCTTCAAGCTTCATGAGGCAGCTCACACCTGACAGGGCCAAAAAACGAACAAATAACCGGGAGGACCTTGCCACCAAAAATGGACCCTGTATATAAATCACTAGACTTGTTAACAATATAATCCTCTCCTAGGGTCTGCCAAGCCCTTGTCCTCACCCAAGGTACCCGTAAGAAATGACACCGTGTCCTGTTTCTTGCACTTAACCATCTGATACCCTGGAACATAGCTCGGACTTCCCCAGCCTGGCCTCCAGCCTCCTGCCACTCACCCAACTCCGGCTCCTAGCCACGAGTAAGAAGTGCCTGTAGGTATCTCCCCAGAGGGCTGAACTACTGAAATTTCTAGTCTTCACGATTTAGGTAGCTTTCTGCATCTTTGGGTAATATGCACACATTTTGAAAAGCAGCCCTTCCCTAATAGCTTCCAATATAAGGTGATCCCGGCAGAAGGCAGGAAACACACACCACTACTGTTTTCAATCATAAAATCCCAAAATGAACAGGCTTGCCACATAGGTAGACGGTAAATCAACATTCCTCTAAAAATGTGTCTGCCTACATAAAAAAGAGAAATTGTTCTGAAATGAGAATGCACCATAAAAGTAGGCCCAGAGAGGAAGCAGAACCAAACGCACCATGAAGCTTAAATAGTCACTCAGCTGTGCCCCTCTGAGCACCACAGACGCCCTTTCAAGGCACGTACCATCTACATTGTAGACTTTCAGCCCAGCCATGTGTTTGGCTGCTCGGAATTTGGAGGCTGTTAGGAGGTTCGGGTTATAGATGGTGAAATCTTTGTAGTAATTCTCTAGGACCACCAATGCTGCTCGCTGGATACTGAGAAAAAAACAAGAACAAAATTAATTCAAAGCCTTTTCACTGAATAAGCAGGTCCTAAAAGAAAAATCCTCTTTTGGAGTCAGGTGAAGGGACAACAGATCAGAGATGACCTCACACAGAAGCCAGCCAGGTTCCATCACACCTCTGTCTCCAGAGTAAGAACTTATGGCTGAACCCAGCCCCCTGGCCAGGTGGCTTCTGTGCCCTCTTCTGGACCTGTGCTTGGCTGCACCCCATCTAGCCCTTTGTTGAAAGAGGAAGTTGTAACTCGTAACTTACATTTAACTTTATGCACATAAAAACTTTTCTTCTTCCTCAGTTTACAAAAGACACTGAGGACCCCGCCAAAGGACAAGAAGTTTACTAATGGTTGCAGAGCTAATGAGTGAAGAACAAAGTCTAGATTCACGTTTCTCAGGTCCTCGTTCAGGGTTTTGTCCCCTAGGCCTCAGTGTCCCTGTGTATAAGGAATCCTGGAACTTACTTTTTTTTTTTTTTTTTTTTAAGACAGGGTTTCACCATGTTGGACAGGAAGGTCTCGAACTTCTGACCTCAAGTGATCTGCCTGCCTTGGCCTCCCAAAGTGCTAGGATTACAGACATGAGCCACCGCGCCCGGTCTGGGACTTAGGTTTTATACAGACCAGAACAACTGCAGCCATCCAGGGCAGAGTGAACTTAAGAGGGCCTCCGCTGAGGCCATTTGATCTTTCTGGGTCCCTCTGCCCCTTGGACTACTATCTCTAGCCTTCGGCAGAGGGGTACAAAGGTGACTATCCATGTCCCAATGTTCTCGGTCTCCAACCTATCCCCTGCTTGGTCCTCAGAGAGCAGCAGGGGAGCAAAGAACAGGCACCACCACCAAGTGGGAGAGAGGATGCGGACGGCACCTATACAGGAAAGGAGCACAGGCAGCTAAAGGTTATGCTCTTGGTCTACAGTGCAGGACACTCGCCACTTTGAAGAACAACTTGCAATGGCACAGCAAGAGTTTTCACAAACCTGATTCTCATTGAACCCTCACAATCATTCGAGGTAAGAAAACTGAGACAGCACGCGCTGACTCAGTAGGAGAGCTGGAACTCTGGTATGATTTACAAATCTCCACCTTGGGCGTCCCGGTAACATGTGGCCTCTGGGTAAGAGCATACGTGCTGACATCTCCAACCACCATGTTAAGTACCACAGATATATTTTTATCTTGCCCTTTAGTTTTTCCTTTTCTAGTACCTTGCTAAGCAGATCGGCTTACGAGGATTATCTGCAATAGCCGGAGCACCAGGCCAGGACTCCCTTTGATTCCTGGATGACCACACTGTGTTCCAGCACTCACAGGGTGGCTCAGGGATCTCCACTTCACACTAAGACAAGGGGGCTCCTAACCTATCCACTGGAATTCTGTCTGCCTTCCCCTTTGGTTCCCCTCGGAGCTCTGCTTCAAGACGTAACAGAGTTGAATCTGGAGACCAGTCAGCTAATTGCTTAAGAGCAGAACCATGGCAAAGCTTTCAGAGTTATATCCCCAAAGTGCCTGCATTCAGTTGGTGCTTAATATTGTCCTAGATAATGTACAGTCATGTGAGGCTGGGGAACACTATGAGGGGACATCTGGTGAGACCAACGTTGCATAATGGAAATCTACCTAAGACTCCTAAAAGCAAATCCACATTTCGAAAGTTCTGGTCATTGAATTACTCAGTTGCTCACTGTCATTCCACATTTGAGTGCCTGTGTCTGCTAAGCCCTGGGAATACCTAGATAGACAGAAGGAGCTCCTCCTTAGCCGGCACGTGGAGCATGAACCCCATGATGCTTCATGCTCTCCTGCTGGAACATGTGGGGCTGAGTAACTACGGAGAAGAGCTTCTGGCTGCCTGGGACAGGGTGGGGTGCAAGAGCAGTCACAGGCGGCCTTGCGTGGAGGTTTGTGTGTCATGAGAGCTCTTCCTGCAGAAGGTCCCTCTGCTTGCCCTGAAGGTCTCACCTGGCAATCTCCAAGTCAATGTGGCTCCAACCACGTCCTTGCCCCCTATCCATGGCATTCTCCAGAAAGGGGCAAGTGCTTCTTTATTTCTACCCCATTTAGAGATTCTTTGCAAGCCTCTCCCTGAACAGACACACACACACACACACACACACACACACACACACACACACTCTCTCTCTCTCTCTCTCTCTCTCCCCCTCGTGTGCAAGTGTTTCTTTATTCCTGCCTTATCCAGAGATTTATCACAGCCCTCTCCCTGATCACACACACACACACACACACACACACCCTGGTGTGCAAGTGTTTATTTTTGCCTTATCCAGAGATTTATCACAGCCCTCTCCCTGATCACACAAACACACACACATGCACACCCACATTCACACACACTCCTTGGTGTGCAAGTGTTTATTCCTGCCTTATCCAAAGATTTATCACAGCCCTCTCCCTGATCTCACACACACACACACGCGCGCACACACACATTCACACACACTCCTTGGTGTGCAAGTGTTTATTCCTGCCTTATCCAGAGATTTATCACAGCCCTCTCCCTGATCTCACAAACACACACACACACACACACACATTCACACACACTCCTTGGTGTGCAAGTGTTTATTCCTGCCTTATCCAGAGATTTATCACAGCCCTCTCCCTGATCTCACACACACACACACACACACATACACATTCACACACACTCCTTGGTGTGCAAGTGTTTATTCCTGCCTTATCCAGAGATTTATCACAGCCCTCTCCCTGATCTCACACACACACACACACACACCCCCACTCCCTGATGTGCCTAGCCCAGCTCCCACCCCTGTGCATGTCTTTTCCGGAGTGTCTGGGCTTTAAACCCACGTCATCCCCACTCCTCCACTGATACAGAAACATCTCTAGGCTCCTGGATTTCAACAGAAAAGTATTACCTTGATCTAAATTTAAAAATTAGAAGGCAATTATCAGAAGTTCTCCTCAGAACCATCTTCAACTCAAAACTGTCTGTGGTTGCTGGGTTTTGCTTTTCTATTCAGTGAGCCTGCAAGGAGGGGCCACGGGAGTCCCACTAATTCAGCTGGGGCCGGTGAGGGGATGTCTGGGTTGCAGCCTCCTGGCTGTGTCTCAGCCTTCCACCCTGTGAGTGTGATACGCTGCCCAGGGAAGTGGTTTCTGTCTCCAGCAGGGCTCCCAGCCCACTGCCTTCCAGCCTGGGGCTCAGCGGATGCTCTCCAATGGGCCGAATCCACAGCCCACCTGGCAGCCCCCCTCAAAGCAAGGTCCTAGCATCCCAGTCAGTGCCCAGGGTGGAGGTGGGTACCATGGGATGCCAGCCCTGGGTGTCACAGGCATGGCTCTCATAGTCCTCCCAAGGAGTGAGAGCCTTTGCTCAAAAATACCAAACAAGGGGAAAGTGCAAATGTCCTGCACTCCCTCCGGCTTTGCCCTCTCAGAGCGGCGACAGGATGACTCAGAGCCTGCCGCAGGTCTGGCCAGCGCCCAGGCTGAGAAGCCAATGCTGGAGCTGAAGAGATCTCACGATTAACACTTCCAAAAGTGTGCGCGCTCTCACCTACAGAGGACGGTCTGTCTGATGCTCAACAAATCTAGCAATATTAGGGAATGAGCATTTCCAGGTAACTAAATAAACACATAACTCAAGTGCACAACTTAAATAAAATGGTTGCGACCTTTTGGGATAAAATCTAATATGCCTTTTTATTTTTTTGTTTTGAAACAGAGTCTTACTCTATCAACCAGGCTAGAGTGCAGTGGCACAATCTCGGCTCACTGCAACCTCTGCCTCCCAGCTTCAAGAGATTCGCCTGCCTCAGTCTCCCAAATAGCTGGGACTACAGGCACGTGCCACCACACCTGGCTAGTTTTTGTATTTTTAGTAGAGACAGGCCCTCGCCATGTAGCTCAGGCTGGTCTTGAACTCCTGAGCTCAAGTAATCCGCCTGCCTTGGCCTCCCAAAGTTCTGGGACTCCAGGTGTGAGCCACTGCACCCCACCTTTCTTCATGTTTTTGAAGAGAGTGAGCTACATGATAGATGACTTAAGTCTTCCTGATGACTCTGGATGGTGATCACGCATCTTAACACCGAGCTGTGCCACGTACATAATGCGGTAAACACACCAGGTTCCATTAGGAGGCGGAGGCCATCTGTCCCCACTCTGTCCCAGGCTTCAGCAAGTGTGAACAGGCAAGGCTGTTCTGTTTACTGTGATCTCCCTCACTACTGGCTGTCAGTCATTCCTAATTACTATGCCATGGCCTCAGTCACAGTCCCAGGAGGCCAGGATGCAGGGCCCAGCGCTCCCCCTGCCCCGATTCCTCTGCATTCTCCAAATAAGGAAGGAACCACAAGGCCGACGCAGGACTGGCTTCTCTCAGGAAGCCTTTTCTCACTCTCAGTCCTTGATCTGTCCCTGAACTGTCATCAACAGTGGTGACAAAGGACTTGTGATTTCTTCAAGGGAGTGAAGCCAGCTCGTCTTGCCCCTTGAGAAGCTCGCCTGTGCAAGTCCCTGACACACAAGGGACATGGCCTCTGGTTCCTCCATGGGAATATAATATTTGCTGGCTTATCTGCTCATGCAACCTTAGAATTCTCGGAAGTCTAAGATCAGTCCTGAATATGCGTTTCATAAAATCATGGAATTTCAGAGGCAAAAAGGGCCCCAGAGATGAACAGAAGTAAATCCTTCTACAAATCCCAATCTCTAGAGCAGACAATCTTGGGTAAAGGTGGGAGACAAGAAAAAAGTTGGTTAGAAACTTGCCCCTGCTGTTAACCACCATTACATTCAGAGAGAAAAGGGGGTAGCCCTGAACGGGAACCCTGTATTCCGGTCGGGGGAGCCTAAAGCATAGACTGTGGACTCAGCCCCCTTGGAAGCCTATGGCAAGGAGCATTTTCACAAGATAGAGGACTCTGAGCTCAACCGATGCCACATGCCAACATCCCTGCCCAGTCACCACCCAGGGAAAGAAATACCCTCTC